GACCTATCTGAACTGTTTCCAATGTTGCCTCTCTGAAGGTGAAAGAAGTAGAAGAACAAAGGGACAGTGGCCCCAATCTGTAAGTGCTCACACACAATCTCAAAAGCTCGCAGGAAGGCTATCAAGTTGGGATGAAGTTGTGAAGGAGAAAGACGGAGATAGTTAAAAATGGCCACATGTAGGTCAGTGAAAGGAATCTGGAAACCCATGTCTCTAAAAAGGATCTCGTACATCTGAAAATGATATACCTCATATTTCAAGCATATGTGATTAAGCTTCCCAGGGACGCAGATAGCCCATTCCTCCTCAGCACCCTCTTGCTCCATCCTTGCAGCCACAACTGTAAACACCTCATCTAGTTTGTAGAAGCTGCAGGTGCCTCAGACACATTCTTGTCGGTAGCATTTTGTCCATATGTGCCCAGCGCTAAGTCTTGTTGCCCCGACGTGTGCTCTTCGTTCAAGGTATGCTCAGACGAACTCAATGCAGAATCTTTTGCTTGCTCATGACTTCGTGTTCAGTACTACTAGATATTTTACCTGAAAAGCAGAGGACAAAAATGAATTCGACATCAAATCAAATCCACTCTTCCACCATTAATCAAGTGAAAGAGCACGCAAAGGAACAATGACCTTGTTCCCGACTAGAGCCCTCACTTAAAACAGTAAGAAACGAACACAAGGACATTTCCCTATGACGTGTTAGGAGCCTGCCTGCCAGGATAAACCCTAGCCAGTGTAAGGAATAATATTCCCGACGACTGAGGCTTAAACCTCACTTGAGGGTTCATCAGAAACTTCAGCGATGAACGATGACGCTTTGCAAAACTAGCAAAAATGAGCAGAAGAAAGCAAGCGAAAGGTTCAAATGAAGCTTCCTCTCTCCCATTTATAAGAAGCTTCGCTAGCACGTGAGTGGGCACACGCCTAGGGAAACCTAGGGGTCATCATCATTACGCCCTAGTCCATAGACTTGCCATCATTACGTATTTATGACACTATGTGGCTCGATGCAAGCATGGCACACTACCTCTCAAAGTCTAGTCAACCGTCCGTCTCCCCGCGCGCCGAACACGAGAGACCATGTTCAGGCTCCTCGACGCAGTTACCCCTGAACGCACCTTGAAGCATCCTCGACTCCTCGACATGCGGCCTGACTCTAAGTCATCACTCATACGCCTAGGAGCAACGACTTGGGGGGCTCCTATTCTGGACTGGCCCAATGGCTTGAATAGGCCCAATTCGCTTCTACCTTCCACATGTCCCAACAATGTTGGCCCGTTAACTGACCTTCATGTCGGGCATACCTGGTCGACCACACCCCAGGGACAACAAGATCAACGATACCTAAGACGTACGCCTTCCCGCATTGACAATCACCTTTCAGTCTGCTCGATGCACGTAGAGCAGACAACCAGGAAAATTCTCATAACACATATGCCTATAATCTATCCCTTGATCGGTACAACGGCTAGTTACGGGCATGACTATCCGTTTTGACTAAGTCCTGGAAGTCACCTATTTTCACAGAACCTAGTATCTAGGCCCGAAAATAGAAACCAATGGCCAAGCATCGGGGGCATTATATAAAACCTCACACTTGTGAGGGTCAGGTATCCAATATTCACTCTAAAACCCTAATCTCTTTCTTGTATCTCTTTGCGCCCATTCTTACTTGATCGTGGAATGTCTTGCAGGTACACCCCCTCCTCTCCTCATATTTCCAGCCTAGCAGACGTCATCCTTTGACACACTTTCAAGTTCTGATCAACCGGTAATATATATATATATATATATATATATATATATATATATATATATATATATATATATATATATATATATATATATATATAGTATTTTGGGTGATAAAATATGATTTGGGGGAATCCGTTTTGACTACCGTAAAAATCACATGAATTTGATGAAATATAGGTATTCTGGTGATAAAATTGATAATCGGATGTTAATTTACCGTAAGAATAACAATTTTTATGAAAATAGTATAAACTGTGTAATTTTTTCAGAAAAACATATAGGACTATTTTTTTCGAAAATTGAGTTTAAGCATCAGAAAAAGTCGAATTTCCAACAAATTTAAAAAATCATACGGAATCAAAAAATAGTGCAGAATCAGAAAATCGTACGAAATTGAAAAATCACATAATTGAGAAAATTGCGGAAATCAAAAAAGTCGCGAAAGTCAAAAAAATTGGATTTTTGGCGAATCAGCGGCAGACGAAAGCTATATGGCAGCGGCGATCGTCGTTAGACAGTGGCGATCGGACGACGACAGTGATTGGAGGACGGTGTGGCGGGCAATCAACGGTTTGTACGGTGGCAGCTGCAATTGGGAGTGTTCGGACAATTTTTGGCATTTTCGATCGTTTTTGGCATTTTTGAGTTCGAAGACTTTTTTCTTGACTTTTGTATAAAATTGAGATGAATATAACTCCTAAACCATGTTAAATCTATATTATAAATAAATAAAAATATTTTAGTATTTCTTGGAATTGAATAATCTGGGTGATAAAATGAAAGTGTTATGAAAAATAATATTTTTTGTGAGGTGATTGGTGGTATTTTATCGGTGATTTAAAGTTCATATTTGAAATCTATTTTTGGTGAATATCTGTTTAAATGATTTTTGGATTTTTTTTTTTTTTGTGATTTGTATGTTTGGTTATCAACATTTTCATGCATATATTTAGTTTGGAGTTAGATGAGACTTCGGTCTATTAGGTGACCTCAAATTTATTGGTGGGTTCGTTGGTCTAGTTGAGAGACCAGAGGCGGGTCTCATATCCATTTGGTGGGGATCATCGGTTTAGGTGAGGAACCAGAGACCGTGGAAGAAATCAGTGACACACCTCTGATATCCACAAGAACTTGGTACCACATTCATATAGGTGAAGGAGTTGGTGCATAATAGCATTGCATATATTGAGAATGATGTTTGTGTTTATGTTTGTGATTTATTTGTATGCTAATATAAATTTTGTGTTTGTATTATCATCATGTTGCTAAAATTTCACTGTTATTATATGTAAGCGTATTCCCACCTCTTTCTTGTTTGTGTTTTCTGTGAAATTTTTGTACAAGTGATCAACATGAGTGATAGATTTGTGATTATCGTGAGATGGTTGGATGCCCTCTTAGAATTTACTGCTTTCTTTCTATTTAGTCGAATAAATGCTCTACTGTAACATGAGAGATTTGGGTGCTTACATTTTGTTGTATTAAATTATGACTCTTCTTCATGGAGTTTTTGATAGATGTTTTTATTCAGACTTATCATATGTTTGTTTTCATCTTCCGCTGTGAATTTTCAAAATTGCATGTTTATGTATGAGTATTTTGATGATGTAACATCATAAGTGTGAATTTTTTTAAAAAATTATTTAGGGATTAGAGTGTTACCCCCGGGATAGGCATCAACCACACGATTCGAATCCCCCGATTTGTATTCGATGTAAAACTGAAAGCCCAATAATTTACGAACATAGTCCTTTTGAACATAGGTCCAAGTTTTACATAAGTACAAGATGGGTGACCATCTTACATAAGTACAGCTCCAAAGCCCATATTGGACACATCTGATTTGGTAACAAACAATACAAGAAAATTGAACGATTGCATCGGTTATTTTGGAAGCTTACGACGGTTAAAACCGCTGCAATTTACTATCTACGACGAGTGTGTCACAAAAATGTGTGTTTCAGGCTGTTTTGCGACGGTTATCAAAACTGTCACACCAATCGTCATTCTCACAATAAATAGGGAACTGACGTAAACTGAACATTGTGACAGTTATCGTTAATTTCCGTTTGATTTTTGTTTTCATAATTAGTTGTGACGGTCCAAACCGTAAGAGCGGGTCATAACCCCCGCTAAAATAATTAATTTATAAAAAAATAAAAATAACAACAAAAATTCACATTTGTTACCAGAATATCAATAACCTTCCTTTTGTCTTTCTTGAATACAAAGATTAGTTTTTGACATTGAACTAAATGAAGAAAAAAAAGAATAACACTATAAAAGCTTGTTGATAACATAAATCAAATGAAACAACAATCAGAATTATATGATTCATTGCTATCAAACAAATTGAATTTAATAATGAAAAGGAAAGATTTTTTATTGTGTCAAACCTCGACCATGGTTAGTTTAGAATTCTTATTGAACATGAGAGTAATGAACCGTAAAGGAACAAAAATTAAGAAATGTAATTTTAAAAGTTTGATTAAAAAAAAATACAAAGTACAAGAATATTATTGTAAAATATAAAAAGATATAGTTGGAAAAATTTTGAGTTTGAAAGGAGAAAGACATCAACCAAAGAATGATAATTTTGAAGTGATGTATTTATAATTACATGAACTAACTTATTAGTTATGCAATATAAAAGTATCATTTTTTTTAATAATATGGTTAGTGAAATACAATTGACATATTTTAATTGATGACACAATTAAGTAACTTTACCTTACTTTTTTTAAATGGGTAATGTATTCCTCACCTATAATTATACCTATGTTAAGAAAAAATAACATTTTAAGAGATAAAAAATATAGCAGTAAAAAGAAGAAAAAAATATATAAAAAAAAAATAGGAAAAATAGAAAGTACAAGAACTTCCTCAAAAAAATGTACTAGTATACCTTATGTCTTGGTTTGTGACAGCGGTGATAGACAAAACATTAAAACGCTTATACCGAAAGACATGATAATGATCCAAAAATTACGTGTCAAGTTAAGGAAATGAAAGAGAGCAAAAGAAGACAAAATGATGATAACAAGGATATCCAAATAGCACAAGACTCCTAAAACATCGACCACAAATTCAGATTTTGTACCCAAAATATCTCTATACTCAGATGCACATTTCTCACTAACTAACCAAAGAGTTCACTTGACAACGGGCGGAACCCAAGTACTTCCATTCAAATTTACCCTTAAATATTTGATTTTTCTGTGGAAACAGAGAGAGCTCCGAAGCATGACGGCTTTTACACCAACTGCTCTACAGTATTCATCCACATCATATTTACAATCTTGGGTGCCATCTATAGAAGGAACTCGTGATCATAATTCATGGTGTGTCAGAGTGAGATCGTACAAACTCACTTCTCAAAGATTTCAACAACAGAACATTGCAAGAGGACTAACAATCCAGTGTGCAGCCACAAAACAAGCGAAATCACCAGGTACCTTTCTGAGTTATACTCTTATTGGACTAAATTGTCCTAGCACTTTGAAGATGTGATAGAATATTAATTTTACTTTTTTTGGAGGTAATAGCTGAAGAAGAGTGGAAGGTTAAGCGAGAATTACTGCTGCAAAAAAGGGTAAAGCTCCACCTCTCTGTCACACATACATTCCTGAATGCACAAATAAGCTTTAGCCTTTACATTATCGTGAGCACAATGAAATTTCAAGATAATAAAATAGCTTGAAGTTACATTCCAAACTAAGAATAATTGTACAAACCACTAATAAAAAGCAAAGAGCAGCAAGCAAACGGGAAAGAGACCGTGCCAGAGAGATTATAGAGTAATGGAAACAAGAATAAAGAAGGGGAAGTGAATCATGTAGTCAAACAAGTTTGACAATACTACTAGGAATAACATACACATAAGTCTTTTGGGTAAAATATAAGGAAATGTGATTTCATGTTTATACCACCCATGCAAGTTTATATCTGATATAATATTGCAGGTAAAAAGTGTGGAACCAAAGGAAGCTCTGCGCCTTCAGAAAGAAAATAATTTTGTGATTCTTGATGTAAGGCCAGAAGCAGAGTTCAAGGAGGTTAGTGAACATGTTTTAGAAGCCTTTTTTTTTCAATTCCAATGTGCCTGTTCATTCACGTTGCATTTTTCTGTGCATCTCTTGTGCTTCTACTTTTGATCAATGGATAGTGTAAGAAGAAAAAACTGATGGATTTGACTATGATCACTGCAGGCTCATCCCGCAGATGCAATTAATGTGCAAATATACAGGCTTATAAAAGAGTGGACAGCTTGGGACATTGCCAGACGTGCTGCATTTGCATTTTTTGGTATTTTCTCTGGAACAGAAGAGAACCCCGAGTTTATCAAGTGTAAGATGAATTTGTCTCACTGTGCATTCCTGAATTCATGCATTTCTTGTTTTCTGAAACCAAATATTTGTTTCATGCTGGCAGCTGTTGAGGATAAATTAGATAAAAATGCAAAGATAATAATAGCTTGCTCGGCAGGTGGAACAATGAAACCAACACAAAATCTGCCAGAAGGTCAACAATCTAGGTATTAAATTATCTCTCCCCCTTTCCTGCGTCTGCTTTCTTCTCTCTGGTTTTCAATTTTGCTCATATATGCGGTAAGAATATATAGTCCAAAACAGGTTGGCAACAGTTTATGAAATTGGTCTGTTTTCACTTTGCATGCAAACAATTTTACTCATGAATGTGTTTGCACTTTGCATCCAACATCAGATTCAGAGACACTTAAATTTAAGAGAGCTGGACAAATGACATTCATAATATTGTAAACCATCCTATCAAGTTATTAGTTATTTAAAGTAATAACAAGAGACAAATTAGTTATTCATCAGCTAAATTACACAATGGAAGGTGTCAGTGATAACTTGGATTGCATGGATGTTAGCTGAAAGCTGATATGTTGCATGTATACATATTCAAATGATTGATCTAATGCTCTAAAGATCACATTTTTGTACTTTCACAGGTCTCTAATAGCAGCTTACTTGTTGGTCCTAAATGGTTACACCAATGTCTTCCATCTAGAAGGTGGGCTTTACAGGTGGTTTAAAGAGGATCTACCAACTGTTTCAGAGGAGTGAATTCATTGTTAACATTGTGCATGCAGAGAATCCTGGACCTAGTTTTGACCATAATGAGGATGCTGATAAATGCATACAAAGAACAGAACGAATGAGTTGAAATGTAATCATTGAACTGGTGCAGATATTTAGCATGAGAAAAAATGCCATGTTACATTTTCTAAAGATTGCCTCCATAGCTTTGGCATGAGAGGGTCTATTTATCAGCATCGTATTATCACTTGTCAGCAGTTTGCAATTCACTGATGCACGTGAAACATGCTTTGGAACCACTATAGCATACCGATTGAACTAAAACACAAGTTTAGTGATCAAGCATTTATGGTTCCATTGCCATCTAATCCTTATGTCCATAACCCAATTCTAAAGAAGAAAAACCATGCAGAGGAGAAAGGTATTTGCTTAACCTGCAATTTCCTAAGCATTTAAAGATGTTTTTGCCATTGCTAGAGCACCGTCATAACTTTTATTTCCTCCAATAAAACCACTCATGTGCACAAAAGTACAACCTGGGATTCCAGCAACCTCAGATAGCCTGTCATTTTCCAAACCCCTCCAAAGATATGGTAGTGGTTTTCTGCTCTCAAATCTAGCAGGTGAAATCGCCACTGCCTGTAGTCTCCATTTCTCACTCCTATCATCCTAAAATTAGGAATCGTATATCACATAAACACATATGAAGTCATCATTTATAATTGAATAAGAAAATAAAGAAAATTTTTTAAGTTTACAAACTTGGTTTGATGAACTTGACAATAAACTAGTGTGTGGGATTTTTTGGGAGGGGAGTGCTGATAATGATTGATGCTTATATAAAATTTGAGATTTATTGATGAACTCAGCCAAACATATCTACCTGGTAAAGAACATATTTGATGGAAGGGTTGATTTTCATTTCCTCCTCAAGCTCATGTATGTGAAATTTCCACTGTGGAGCAAGAGAGAAAAAATACTTCAAAGATATCCAAAAGCAAAAACCAAATTTTAGTTTCCCTAGCCTTGATTGGTAAGAAGAGAAAACTTATTACAACAATTATTAAAAAAGTGTGTCAAATTGATTAAATAGATTGTGAGCTTGCTTACAGGACAAGGTCGATTTAGTTTTATAATCTCCCCACAAGAATCAACAGTTTCTCTTGCTGCAAGACACTCCATAACAATAGAACGTGCTGGCAACCATGATTTTGCATAATAATTCACATTCTGTAACACACAATCATCAAAACTAAAATGATTGTTGAGTATAAGCAGTTAAACACGGTGAACAACAGCAATCAATCAAACGTTAACATTCCAAAACAGTCTCACCTCCAAAAATTCACCACCAGCCAGAGCCATTGCCCTATGAAAAGCCTCGGTTTCTGCATCAGATGACTGATCAGCATCAGTCCAGTCCAAATTCAATCGTTTAATTCTAGATGCCAAGTCTGTGTTGATTACATATTTCGGAGATTCGTCCGAATCATATTGATTCACTCCATTATCCACAGCATCAACTGACTGATAATAAAACAGCATTTCAACAAACAAAAGCATGTTAAGACAATTTCACTAATTTTCAAATCCAAGCTTTCAAGGACGAAAATGTGAATGCATAGTAAAAACATCTACCTCTACAAAGTTTCTGTATATAGCTGGATATAACTGGTGTACATGAGGATGACCTTCATCAAGACGAAGCACATTTGCAATTATCTTCAATCCAAAATGCTACAGTATATAACGAATGAATAGTGAATTAGGTTTTGATTGATAATGAAGAACTAAATCAGCAACTGAATTAGAATTGAAGAAAGACCTTATAGACGAGCCCGGCGCTACTGAGCTTAGTGACGAAGCCTTGACCGAAAACCTGGTGAAAATCCTCTTGATGATGATCGTAACGGTGTCGTATCGGGTCGTAAGCGCCTCCGACGTCGACTACGGCATCTAATGATTCCAGAAGCTTTGGGTCTCTGGTTCTAACTATATCGGCGCCGGAGAAGGGTTTAGAAAGGCGGAGCATAAAGCAAGCGAGGGCTTCGTCGCAGTGGAAGGTTCCGCTGTGCGTGCCCACGCGCTTAGCCGAGGACGTGGAGAAAGATGATGATAGATTGGTGTGAAATGTCATTAGAAGAGGATTGTGAAACGTAAACGTCTTGTGCCACGCTTTTGCAACTTTGACCATTTTTTAAATATCATCTACCGTGCCTCAACTCTCAGAAACGGGGAAGATACAGTCTAACGACATCGTTTGGCAGTTTTTTTGAGATATATATAATTTGGGCAGCGTGGATACGTACTTATTGCTAGGTTTGATGGGCCTCATCTTTAATGGTTTAACTATTACTATCTTCACCTCCTATACGTTTACAATCAATACAATTTTTTTATAATTCCTCCCATAAATATATAGATGTAAATCATAGACGACGTGCCAACAAGTAAATTTGTAAATCATAGACGTTGCCAATAAGCAGCTTATGATGAGTAACATTTCCACGTCATGGAAAAGCGATGTGAAATTTTGTTTGAGGTACTTATCAGTGTATTTTGATACATATTTTTCTACTATTATATTTAAGTATCTTTTTAGTTTATTTTATTACTTTTACTGTTTTATTGTGTTTTCATATTTTAGTTTATTTTTTTCTTTATTTTATTTTTAATATAAGTATTTTTCTTGTGAAAATTACAACTGGAGTTACGAGAGTCTGATTTGTGTGTTCTGATATGCGTTGGAAATCTGAGAGAAAAAGCTATAACTTTTATGTTAAAGACAAAAGCTGATTCAGAGTGAAAGAGTCTCGAATAATTTGTTGAAGTTTCGGACTAGTTAAAATAATTAGAATTGGACTATTTACTTTTATGTTTTCGTGTCGGATTGCATTTTGGTCCGATTTACCTTGTATTATAAAATCCAAATTCGCTGCTACAGTGACATCACACATTATTCACGAAAAAATATAATTTTGTACGAATCGATCATGGAGAACTAATCTTTAGGGCTAGTCTGTCAAATTCGAATTCCACAAAACTTTGAAGTTATTATTATTTTCAATTTAATTCAGATCCTTTCTAATTTATTCTATGGTTTTCGTTTACTTAATTCGTTTATTATAGAATAGATTGGATTAAATTTTTGTGTGCATGTTCCTTACTTTAATCGCGTTTAACTTAGTTTTTTTGTTAATTTGCGTTGTCTGTAATCGTTTGCTTAATTCAATGAATTGTTTGCTTAATTCGATGATTAGGAATATAACTCGTGTAGTATTGTCGACACTTGTTTCATCAATATTGCAATCGAATAGGAATTATAATAATTGATGATAAGTTGGAAGTCGAGCCTATAGATTAACTTATTTAATAATCGCTTATTTTTATAATCACACATTTGTTTTGTTTTCTAAATCGATCAAACCATAAACCCACCCAAATTGATTCCAGCTGGTTAATTCATACAAGAATCCTTGTGATACGACTCGATCCATTGTCGCTATCTACAGTTTTTAAAATTACTCGTTTTGATCTGTGCGCGACAGCGGATCAGTATGTGAATTTGTGAATACTCATATGTTTATCCTATTTTGTGAGATCGTGTTTCTATTTATGGATTTAGGTTTTAATTGTGAATTTCATTCCAAGAGTTGGCATCTCAAGAGTCTCGTGTCTTGTGACCATATCTCATAAATATATTATAAAAAGAAGAAAAGTATATAAAGGGGGACAAAATCAAAATCCCGAAAACTAAAGGAAAGTCAAACAACACGTGAGAAAAACCTAATAAAAACTAGACCAAAGGGTTATATCCCACATTGACTCGTGGTAAGTCGCCCTTCAAGAGTTATGCAGCAGCTTGCACTAAACCACAACTTGACCATGGGTTATGCAATGCATGAACCATTGTTCGATATGCAGACCGACTCAAATTCTTCTAACACTAACCACAAAGCTATCCAATGCCAAACCTGATTATTATCCATAACCATCATACATCCTATTTTATTTGGTACACAAGTTCCAAATTCAAAACTTTATAAGGAAAGGAGAGTAGTAGCACCCTTTGATCGGTTGATGTATTTTCTTCCACCTTACAGAGTCTGTCATGTCTGTTGTGTCAGAGAGTATATATGGATTAAATGTAGTTTGTGATTTATTGTTTTTGTATATGTGACTTTTGCTTCAGAGTTTATATTTTTTTGGTCATATGCTTGTGGCGTTTATGACACATCCCTGATTCGTTTGTCATGTGGTTTTGATTGCTTTAGTTGTATGCATATGGCATTTGCGATAATACTTCTTATTTGTGGATATCCTCTATGATAACAAGGAAGAGAATTTAGTGCAACTTTATTCATTCATTCTAAAAAAAAGGTATTATATTATAATGAAAGGTGTGCTTTACACATGCGATTGAAGGAAAATTTAATCAATTTGTGTGATTGCAGCTTATTATACTCTAAATATACTAGTATGGTGTGCCACAACCGTCCTCAATCATTATTCGAAGTTATCCCTGCATCTGTGAAGTTAGAAGTATTCACATCATACCTGTTAGAATCCCGTCTACTTTCTTTTGGGGGTTTGATCATTATTTCTTTAAACTGCTTAGTCAGGGAGGCCATGCTAATTTCCACCGCCTCTCTTTGTCTTTCCACTTCTGGTTACGTTGCAAAGCTTTATGTATCCTTCGTGCTCCTGACAGGTTTGTGGATATCGTCACTATCTCATCGTGAGCATTGTGATACTTCAATTTGACGTAGAAAGTGTAAGCCACCATGTTCATCATTATCGTGAAGGGTATGTCCATGATGTAGTTATAGACACTCACACGGGGAATTAGTAGGAATTGTAGGTTGATTGGCTTGGTGTCTTTCCATTTACAAAGGTAACCATCAACTCAATATATCTCTAAGGGAAAGTCATTGTCTCGTTAAAGGTTTATTGGCCATATCCCTCATACGACCATAACTTCTGCATTCTCAGATCAAGCTTTTCAAAAAAATATGCATGCATAATGTTGCAAGAGCTTTCATGCCTCATCAATGAGGATCATGGAGGCATCAAAGTTGGACATTGTTGATATTATCACCAAGATAAATTCTCGTTTGGGATTCCACCCACCTTTTCATTATTCTTAAATATGAGGATAGGCCTTTCATGCTTCTTGCCAAGAGTTATTTCTCCCTCCTTAGTGATTGTCATTAACTCATCGATCCTTATTTTCCTAGTACCCTAACTATTTTTTATCTATGAAGGCCTATAGTAATGGAAGTGATATATTATCGCTTCCCCTTCTGATCTTCCTCTTCCTCATTGCTAGCTTCTTTCTTTCCCACGGCTCTTCTTAAAGCCTCGATAGTTTTCTTGGGGGATACCTTCTCTGGATAAGAGGTTCGTTTATTCTTTGGTGACTTATCCTGCACTCTATGATCTTTCTTTCGGTCTCATATGTCTATTTATCCTCCTTTTCGAGTATACCTGATGAGTTATCCCTGTTCTTCAATCTTGTTTTTCTGGCAGATGCATTCAATAATGTCATGGTCGTGACTTTTATGAAAACATAAGTATTTTGATTTATCTATCCTAGTTGAATCTCTAACTGGATAGAGGTTCCAGATCCAACTTGTTTGAACTTGGTGTTTGTGCATCCACTCTAGATTTCATCCTTCAATGTATTTAAAGGATTGTATGCAGAAAATTTGGTATGATTCATGGTTCTCCATCATCTCTATGAAGATTACTATCTTTTTATGGCGCTCAAACGCACCCGGGGCTTCTCGTTCCCTAGGGATTCTCTTCACCTAAGAGTTCTTCCTCATAGTTAATGTAATGTTAGGCCTTATTCAATAGATCACTTAAAGCTATAACTTATTTCAGCCCTAGTTTTTCTCAAAACATGCAATTCGACCTCAATCCCTTTTTTAATATCCAATATTTTAATTCATCTATATACCTCATACTTCAACTGCTACATTGATAAATCAATTGATGTACTTCTATAGGGTCTCTTTCTTCTTCTGCTTGATTCTATTGAGTACGACCATAGTAGTAGGTTGCCACTCTCTAGCAGTAAGTTGAGTGGTGAATGAGTCACATAGTTCCTTCCATGAATATATGCTCTTGTTTGGAAGTGTTTTAAACCAAGTCATATCGCTCACTTAAGGGTTAATATGAATATTTTGCATTTCACAACTCTTTGGTAATGGTAGTAATCCAATATGTTGCTCACATGTTTGACATGTTTGTTCGAATCTCCCGTACCGTCGTAAATTTTCAGCTTTGGGGTGTTCTTGAGAGACCTCGGGATCCTGCTGACAAGGATGTGTATGAAGAAAGGGTTCCTTTTTTGCCGAGAGGTAGGGGTATCTTCATTGTGCCTTTCTCTTCTCCGAGAATGGTGAATCTTATGTGGAGTATGAGTGCCTTTATCCCTTTGGAGATGGATTGGGGAGTCTGTTGTCCACTATTTCGATTAGGATATGGTAGTCTTGGAATTTATTTGTTCATTAAGGTTGTGTCTCTTGGAGCTAGTTGCAGTATGACTCATTAGTTGTTGCTCAAAGTTGTCTCACGCATGGTGCTGATTCTCGAAAAAGCGTATTGCACATTCTCTTCCATTCTGATCATCGTGTCGGCTAAGATATAAACAGTGTTTTGTAGATCGATAGCTCTTTGCATGTCTAGGTTATCTTTTAGTTGTTAAATATTTGGGGAGCATATCTTGTCCAGGTATTAATAGATGCAATAGAGGTTATTGTGAAGGTTGGCCTGAGTAAAGTTGTTGTAGGGTTTGGAAAAATGAAAGGCCTTGGAACGTTTCTAGTTCAACTATTTGAGGAACAAGATCTTGATGTACAGGAACAGACAGAGAGGTCACTATGGAATCATCCTCTATTGGAAAAAGAGGTGAAGCCTTATTACTTCAGCGACTGTGACAACACTATGGTGTTGAGCGACAGATCTAGTAATCTTTGATTTCACCATGGCTTTGTAAGCTTGATATCTAATCTGTTAGAGAAAAAGATAAATGTTTCGTGAGAAGAAGATCGATAATCCGAATCTTTAGTGAGAATGTGATGGTTTTCGTGAAAAAATTGCAAGAATCAAAAGTTGATTCTCACAGACGGCGTCAATGTTTCATTCAGGAACTAAAGATATGTGATGAAGTGATGGAAAGAAGTTCAG